TGAGAGTTTTGTTGTGTACAATATAACATTGCTAACCTAGATTTAATACAGGAAAGACAAGTATAAATTATTTACTTCAAGAATATAAAGTGGGGGGGCCCTGTGGCGTAGCGGTTAAGTGCGTGCACTCTGCTGCTGGTGGCCCAGCTTCGGATCCTGGGCGAGCACTGACGAACCACTTGTCAGGCCATGCTGTGGTGGACTCCCATATAAAATGGAGGAAGATCGGCACTGATGTTAGCCCGGGGCCGGTCTTCCTCAGCAAAAAGAGGAGGATTGGCATGGATGTTAGCTCAGGGCTGATCTTCCTCACAAAACAAAAAAAAAAGAATATAAAGTGGAATAATAATAATATTGTTCTAAGCTTTAAATCCCAAGCTAATTTGTTCTGAGCTGATACTGATCTAAGAGCTTTAAAAATGTCCACTGACAAGAGTGGTTCTCAAACTTTTTGGTCTTAGAACCTCTTTCACACTCTTAAAAATTATTGAGACCCCCAAAGAGCTTTTGTTCATGTGAGTTATATCTATCTATATTTACCGTACTAGAAATTAAAACTCTAATTTTAAAAATATTTATTTCTTAATTCATTTAGAAGTAACAATAAATAAACCCATTATATGTTTACATAAATAACAATTTTTATGAAAAATAACCATATTTTCTAAAATAAAAAACAAATTTAATTAGAAGAATGGCACTGTTTTATATGCTTACAAATCTTTTTAATGTCTGGCTTAACAGAAGACAGTTGGATTCTCACATCTGGTTCTGCATTCAATCTGTTGCAATATCACTCATCATATTGCTTCTGAAAAACTCCAATATATACTTGTGAAAAAATGAGAACGAAAATAGCAAATAGCATCTTAGATTTATTATGAAAATATTTTTCATTTCCCAGACCCCTGAGAGGGTCCTGGGACCCACAGGGGTCTCCAAACCACCATTAGAACTACTTACGCCAGTCCTAGGAGGTGAATGTGAAATGGAGGCACAGAGAGAATAAATTATTCACAGTCACAAAGTGAGGGATGGAGCCCAGGAAGTCTGATTCCAGACTCCAGGGTGCCCCTTGGCAGGGGCATGAGGAAAGTAGCAGGGGCCCATTTCACAGTGTTTTACGTAATGAAGAAAACCTACTGGCTGCCTGGCAGTCACAACACCAGACCTCCCCTCTATCTCATGTGATAAAATTTTAAATTAAATCTTTCAATCAGTGCAAAGCAGAGGTAAGGGGAAGGGAGAGCAGCCATCACTCATCTCTAAGAGGCCCCGGTTTGCCCTACAGGGAAATGGTACCACATCTCCACTGAGGAGTAAAGCACAGTGGGGGACAAACAGCCAGATACTCTGGACACCTCTCAAGTAACAGGTCTCTCTTCCTTGTCCAAACTGAGACACCATATGTGTCTCCGGAACTCTCACTCCATTCAGACCCTCCTTTACACCATTCTTTATACAGAACACTGCCTTCAATTCTTTTTTTTTCCCAATTTCATTGAAAAATAATTGACATACATCACTGTGTAGGTTGAAGGTGTACAGCATGATGGTCTGATTTACATATACTGTGAAAGGATTACCACAAGAGGTTCAGCTAATATCTGTCATCTCATATAGATACAATAAAAAGAAAAGAAAGAAGAAAAGAAAAAAAAATTCTCCTTGTGATAAGAACTCTTAGGATTTACTCTCCTAACAACTTTCCTATATATCATCTGGCAGTGTTAGCCATAGTCATCCCCATAGTACTTATTTATAGTACATTACATCCCCAGTACTCATTTATCTTATAATTGGAAATTTATGCCTTTTGACCTCTTTCTTCCAATTCCCCCTCCTACCCTCCCCTTCTGGTAACCAAAAGTCTGATCTCTTTTTCTAGAGTTTTGATTTTCTGTTTTCTCTTTTTTAGACTCCACATATAAGTGAGATCATACAGCATTTGCCTTTGTCTGACTTATTTCACTTAGAATAATGCCATCCATGTTGTTGCAAATGGTAGGATTTCCTCATTTTTTATGGCTGAATAATATTTGCCAAAAAAGACCTGGCCTCACTGCTCTAAGGGATTTAGGAGATTTTCTTCTCACTGCTACTGTCAGGAAGCCTAAGGCAGGAGATGGGCCCATGAAGTGCATGAAGGATGGGGATGGAGGGAGGGTAGGAGGGAGGGGGAAACATGGCACAACAAAAGTAAAGTCTGGAATTATAAAAACCCTGATGTGATCTTAAACAAACTATTTATCTTCTCTTTTTCTCCAAAAACTAGAGATGCCAACCCTGACCACACAAATAAAAAGACTACAATGAGGTAATGTACACGAAGCCCCCCAGCCCCCAACCACAGGTAGTTTGTCAGCACACCATGAGTAAACACTGGTTTCCCTTCTCTGTTCCCCTTCTTGCTCGGGAAGCTCTCCTGGGCTTTATTCTGCTTCCCTGAATTCTCTAACAATACTTCTCCCTTCTGCCCCAGAAGAACCCTTCAGCTCCAGTGAGAGGTCTGAGGAAGTTCGCATGTTTCATCATTCAAATTGCAGGCAAGAGCCGCAGGCTCCCCACCCCCTCTCAAACCCTATCACGGCCACCACCCAATCATTTTCTGCTAGGACACTCACACTAAGGGTATGGTGCTCCACAGTGTCATTCACAGAGCACGCACTGGGACCAGAGCCACTTGGGGCGGCACAGTGCTGCAGCCCCACATGTTACCCTCACACTTCCTTGGCAACAGCTGAGCCAAGGCTCACACTAGGCCAACTACAGTTGCAGTGCTGTGACTCAACTCCATTCTCCACCTTATCCACTGCAGGAAGACCCATAAACATAGTCAAGGTATAAAACAGAATTTGAGGGCCGTCCCGGTGGTGTAGTGGTTAAGTTCATGCACTCTGCTTCAGCAGCCCGGGGTTTGTGGGTTCAGATCCTGGACGCAGACCTACACACCGCTCATCAAGCCGTGCTGTGGTGACATCCCACATACAAAATAGAAGAAGATTGGCATAGATGTTAGCTCAGGGACAATTTCCCTCAAACAGAAAGAGGAAGATTGGCAACAGATGTTAGCTCAGGGCCAATCTTCCTCACCAAAAGAAAAAAACACAAAACAAAACTTCATAAAGTGTTACTATCAAATAATGAAACTGATCTCACTTATCAAGTCTCTTTTCTTGCAATCACATCATGTACCTTCAGGTGTGAGAAACTAAGGACTAAATATAGTTACAATTTGTCATGAATAAATAAAATAGGATCTCACATTGTTCATCCAGTTTAGCTCAAGTTTACAGCACTTAGTCCCTTGACTAGCACCAGAAGTGACGGCACTGGTTTATAAGCATTAAATAGTTCCTTTCCAGTACCATTTATAAATCACTTCCCACTGCTTTGGTGGCCTCTGTGTACTAGGTTCTTTGTCTCAAGATTGTGATCCCACCAAATATTCCTCATTTAGCTTGGCCTCCTAGAAGAATGGTTTTATTGCCTTTCTTTGATGTACGTGGCGTGGATCCTACAACTTCTATTATACTGAAACAACAAGCCCAAAATAGAGTCACTTGTGTTAAGGCCCACTAAGCCTTAATAGTTAACCAAATTGCAGTTTCAGCCTTTCCCAGGAGTGGAATTTTAAACCAACCAGGTTGGAATTTCCTGGTCAACACTAGTGAGGTCATCTGATAGACCCCCTGCTTCCCCCTAAGGGAAGGTGACCTTGCCTGAAATAATCTACTCTTTTAACTTCTTTGTCCCGCACTCTTTTTGCCTATAAAAACCTTCCATTTTGGGCCGGCCCCGTGGCTTAGCGGTTAAGTGC